AATATAGCACGCTCCCCACGACGCACCAGCACTGCCCCTGCATTGCAATATAGCACGCTCCCCAGACGCACCAGCACTGCCCCTGCATTGCGATATAGCATGCTCCCCAGATGCCAGCGCTGCTTCCCCATTGCATCCCCTCTGTATTAGGCTGTTAGTGGATGCAGGGAAAGTGCGTGTGTGTCTGGGGCGGAGCATAGCGCAGCTGGCAGCTTGGAAGCCGGAGCCATGAATCAGCAGGAAACATGATTGGAGCAGGGGAACGAAATGTAGTTTGGCCTTAGGGCAGCGGTTCTTGAGTTTCATCATACAGTGACCCACACTCAGCCTTGCAACGGGTCCTCCTCAGATGCTCCTAGAATCCTTTGCCCTTGGTCCCATGGGCTTATGGGGCGCTTCTGGCATCGGAGGTGGACCCAGATGGGCAGGAGGCCAGGAACTGGGAAAGAGGAACATCCCCCACCCCCTTCCCAGGTACCTTGAAGAGATGCTTTAAGAGCCAGAGCTATTGAGGGCAATTGGTGGTCTGCAGAATGAGGCATGCATGGGGGATTGGGAGAAGAGATGGTCTGTGAAGGGATCTTGCTCTTGCAAAACGTCTACAGAATGGAAGAGCCAGTGGTGTGGGGTGGATTTTTGCTTTTCTCTGAAGCATGGAGCAGAGATCCGATCAGGAGTGACACACCCTGTGTTCTCGTGTCTCCAGCTTTGTGGCTTGTGGGTCACCGGGAATCCCAATGAGCGTGAGTTCCAGTATGTATCAGTTTAGTACCTGGCTCCCCCTCTCTCTGGGGGGATGCCGATGGATTGCATGCTCTGGGGTCACCGGGCAGCTGGGGCACAGCTGCATCCACCAGACGTGGTTTGACTCCCGCTGTGGAGAAGAGGAGGGACGAAAGTCAGGTGGCTAAGAGCAGGCCTGCTGGGAACTAAGAGCAGCCTGTGGGGCTGCTGACCCAGGGACTCCAGGGAGAGGAGACTGAGAAGTCAGGGCTCTTTAACGAGCAGGAGGGCTGGCTCTACAGGAAGAAGACTGGGCAGCGTGGGGTTAGATAGTCTGGCTGTATGGGGTCACCAAGCCTGAGAACCCATAGTGGAGGGTGGGCCTGGGCTCCCACTGTGCTGCCATCTAGAGACCTCTGCTGCTACCAAGGGGCTGATTAGATCCCAGGTGGGCTGGAAGATTGGTGGAGGAGGACAGACCTTCAGAGGGAGGAATGAACCCTGGGCAAAAGATCTGGGTTTGTGTTGGTTTGGATTCTTTGGGGTGAACTTTGGGACTTAGCCAGCGGGGTAAATCGCTTCAGCAACTAATAGAGCCATCAGACACAAGGAGAAACTGAGGCAGGGTCTGCCGTTGGGTATAGAGGGACCTTGCATTTGGTTAGGCCTTTTCCCATTTTTAATAGCGCGGATCCTGTGAGCCCCTCTACCAGACTGCTCTACCCTTTTCAGTATGAATAGAGGGGTGCACCTGGTCACACATCTTTTCTGCCCCCGTATTATCCAGGGTATCTGGGGTCATGCCATGCAGGGCAGCATTAATAGGGAACTAATTCAGTCACTGCTTAGTCTGCCAGCCAGCAGGCCAATTGGTGCCAACTGTGACAGCGCGTTCTATGGCATGGACCTCTGTCCGTGGGCTGAGACCCACCCAACTTATTTTGGGGGCACCGACCAAACTTTGGCTAGCAATGGCTTTTGGTCGCTGCTGGGTTCAAGTCGGGGTTCAAGGCTCCTTATCCCATTACTGATCTCCCTGAGCTACTCCCAAAACTCATTGGGCAGCCCTGAACCAGGTTGCCTAATCCCCTGCAGCTGGACTCCCCAATCCTGCCTCACGTCCCGCTCATTCTTTTGGCCATAATGGGGCGAGTGTATTACAGGCCGGTCTGCCTCCCTTAGAGGGCCTGTTCTTTCCCCAAGGCTCCAGTCTGTCCCCCCTTTACCCCAACATGGGGAGTGCAGACCTATGCCCAAGGTAGATATATGACGTTTGCATCAGTGCAATTGGCTTGAGCAGCTGTAAGATGTTACCCGGTGTTCTAAGGTGGGAAGGGGCATGGGGGGGCTGGGGCAGCGTTTCCTGGTGCATCTACAAGACATCCTGCTGAATGCCCCCACAGTCACAATTGACTAACCATGCAGGAGATACCCCCTCTTTGTTGATGCAGAGGAAGGGAGTTAAACCCCTGCCCCGTGTGCCCTGGGGGCATCCATCCCCCCCAACACCTGCTTTGTCCAGCAGGGACATTTGGGGCAAATCCTGGTGGCAGAGTAGGATCCTGGGCGCCAGTTAGGATTTGCCCCGTATTGAGCGCTGAGAGAGCCGAGGACCTGATGCGTCTGGGAGCAGATCGCACTCCTCTCTCTTTTCCTTCTCACCTTCTTCCGCTCTTCGGCTCCATCCTGTCCGCTCCGCTTGGTCTCGCCTGCCTCTGCAGTTTGTTTCTCATTAAGCGCTTTGCTCAGACGCTCTGATTGTCTCTCGTCGCCTCGCCATCCCTGGGGGATAATCAGTTCCACATGGGCTGTGCACGTATGGGGGGAAGCACTGCCCAAACGCTCACCTTCTCTGTGCTGCCAGGTTCCTGGTCCTTGGGTCAGGCCCATCTGCTCCGCTCTTCCTCTGTGGAGGGGTGAGGAATTGGCTCAGGCGGCCCCCAGGAGGACCAGCGTGTGGAGAAATGACTCTTCTCCCCCCTCCCCCCCCGCCGCTCCTTCTGGCCTGCTGCCATGGATCCGTCTTACTAGGCAGGGATCCACACAGTCATGTAGTACCCATGGGGGAAGCAAAGCCCAAGCCTGGGTTAGGCTCAATCCTGACCCTAGTGAAGGCCCTGGGATCTCCACCGTCGATTTTAATGAGAGCAGCAGTTGGCGCTTTGTTCCTCAGCCCCCAGTCTCCCCTGAGTGCGGCAGCTCTAGACTTCACTGCTGGTGCTGCCTAGACCTGGTCCGTTTTGGCTTGGCTGTGACTCCTCCCTTCACCTCCTTCGTGCTGGCTCAGGCACCCATGGGCCTTGAGACCACAGTGAGAGCAGGGCTGAAAGTGGAGGCAGGTTCTACGCAAGGGTCCTCGTTTCAACACTCCCTCCTCCCAGCCGAGCTCCCCCTCTCACCTCCTCACTCCAGCTCTCAGGCTCCAGCCTCCTCATCAGGTCCCCCCACCCCCTGGCCAGGCCTCAGCCTTCCTAGAGCAACCCCACCAGCATGTGTGTCACATGCATGTACCCCGGAGCCCTCTGTATTTGGGCCTGGCCTCCCTGGAACTCCCTGTACCAAGCCTCAACCTCCCTGGAGCTGCCTGTCTCCCTGCCCCAGGTAGCAGCATACTGCCTGCTCCTGAAGCCTCTCCTCTAGGACCTCTCTTCCTCATACTTATTTTAATTTAATTGAGATATCCTATCTCCTAGAACTGGAAGGGACCTTGAAAGGTCATCAAGTCCAGCCCCCTGCCTTCACTAGCAGGACCAAGTACTGATTTTGCCTCAGATCCCTAAGTGAGCCCCTCAAGGATTGAACTCACAACCCTAGGTTTAGCAGGCCAATGCTCAAACCACTGAGCTATCCCTCCCCCCCATATCTTTGCCTTCTGTGACATGTCTGCCCCTCCCTGAGCCCCCTGCAGCCTGGCTCAATGGGGCTGTGTGCCCCTTCCCTTTGTCTCCCAGGAACTGCTCCAGCCCCTGCCAGGCTGGTTGGGTTCATTCCACGGGTGCTTTTCATGGGATTGTCCCGGGGGGATATTTGCCATGCAGTTCATGGCAGAATACAGCTCCTGGCCCTGCTACTGACTTGAAGCTGGTGATACAAGGGCCAGATTCCCAGGTGATGGGCAGTTACAAATCAATAGGTGGGCGCTAGGGGGTCTAAACTGCTATATGGTGAAGGAGCAGAAGAGGGTGTATGTTAGTGTGTGCTGGGAGTTACTTGGGCGTACTCCTCCTTACACCTCTCCTGCTTGTGTTTCCTGCCACGCTCTTCTTAGGAGGTCTGCACCAATGTAACTACATGGATTTTTAAATCAGACCAGTGCACCTTTTCTCATACAGCCAAGACCGTATGGTCCCAGATCCTCTTCGTTGCCCTTATGCTCAGACTCCTTTGCACCCATCACACACGCCTGCTGTAGCTCACAACCCCTTACACATCCCCCCCAAATTTGATCCTGTTGCGTGGGCGACACTCTGCTGCCTAGATAGCGAAGAGCTCGTCTGCAATAGCATCAAACCGAACGAGGAGACATCTTCAATACTAACCAACTAACACTGCTTCTCTTTGCACCTCGGTCTTTCATCCCCTCACCCCCAGCCTGTAGCATGAGAATCCTGCCTCTTTGCGTCAGAGGACATGGGAGGGGACCGCCCCAGCGGTCTGCTATGGGTTGTGATGGATTGGGTGATGGAGTGGTTTGATGGTACCAGCTCAGGCCTCTGTGCCAGGCTCATTGGGGTGGGGGAAAGGGAGGAAATCTTTGCAAATCTGAGAGGCAGAGAATAAGAAATAATTGAAATTTTAAAAAGGTAGGCTTCTTGCTGGACACTGTTTCTAAATCACTTTTTTATAATGTTAAACAGGGGAGAGGCACCTCCAGCAACACGTTACCCCCCAGACGTTTTCTAATGGTAAATATTTTTGTTCTCTCTCTATCTCTTTGAGGAGTTCTAACCGTAGATGCATCTTGTCTTGGCATAATAACTGGGCATGGGGCCTGAGCCGCCCACCTAACTGCATGCCACACTTCCCGCCCTAGCGCATGTGGCTCAGGGGTCATTAATGATGCACTTTCCACCTCCGATGCTTACTAATCTCCCCCCGCCATTCCTACTTCTAAACCCGCTGCAGCAAGGCCAGCCTGGGATCCGGCCGTGAGTTGTCTCTGCAACCGGAGAAGGAGAGAGAGAGAGACAGGGCATTCCGACGAGGAGCAGAGCTTGTGCGGGATGTGGGGCTCTGAATAGCTGCCTGCTTTGCTTATGCTTATGGCCAGACCTGTTGTCAGAAGATGTAACCGGCTTTCAAACTGAGGATAAGTGTCTGTAGGAGGAACAGGAGTACTTGTGGCACTAACAAATTTATCTGAGCATAAACTCAGACTAACATGGCTGCTACTCTGAAACCTGTCTGTAGGAGAGGCACTCAAACTTTGCCCATCTCAGCAACCTAAGGTTCTCTCTTCAATTTCCATGTAATGGAGCAGATCATGGTTTCTCTTGTCTTAGTGCAGAGGGTCAGAATGGAGCCTTGCATTGTGGGAATTATGGTCTCCGAGACTGTACCACTGAGTCAAAGACTGAAGTGGCTGCAGATAGCATTTTTACATCTTTGAGGCCCCCTGTTCAAAATAGATGTGGGCAAAATTTTTCACTCTAATAGTTTGTTTGCCCAAAAATGCAGTTTCAGGGCAACCGAAACTATTTGCCAATTCACGTCAAATTCGGCAAATCGTTTTGGCTGAATAAAAAGTAAATGAAAAACAAAAAGTTTGAAAAAGCCAAAATAGCATTTGGGACTTTCAAAATGAAACCTTTTGACTTTTCGTTTTGAAATGATGTTGCGTTTAGAAATGTAGCTAGATTTTGCTTTTGTTTTTTTAAATTAAAAGGGTAATAAACATAATGCAAAAAGCAAAGCAAACAAAAAACATTGTTTTGGGTCAAAAGAAACATTTTGTTTGACCCCAAACAATTTATTTTTCATATTGGGGTTTTGTTTTGGTGAGGACAACTGAAAAATGTCAGTTCCGACCCAAACTGAAAGTTTTTTCTGATTTGTTTTTTCTGATATTTTATTTTTTGGCCACCAATCTGGAAAACCAATTACTGCCTCTGCTCTAGTTCTAATCCCCACTGTAGGCCTGGCCCAGCCAGTGGGCAAGTGGTGGCCTCCAGCGTGGCTCTGATTTAAGTGTGGAAGGGCGATAGAGTGATCCTGTAGTTAACTGAGATGTCACATACCTCCCTTATGAGGAGACTGTCCCAGCCCACAGAAGAAAGGAGTTTGCTGCATATGGAAGGTCAGTGCCAGGAGTAAAATCCAAGTCTCCGGCTTTCTAGGCAATGATGTAACTTGAGCTGAAGGGTCAGCGGTAGCTAGGTCAAGCCCCCAGAGTCTCTCTTACTTTTGCCCATGATGCTGTTTTTCTGGACTGCCTGTGAGCTTGGATGTCAGTCGGGGAGAGTGGTACTGAGAGTCTGTCTGGAAAGAGCTTTCTTTGAAGCTGCCTTCCCCTCCACAGTGGGAATTGGGGGAGTGGCTGGTGTCAGTTTGGGGAAATCAATTTACAAATAGGACTGTTCAGGAAGGAAGGAAACAGCCCCTGCGGTCTCTCCCGGAGAGACCATATTGGGCAGCTTCTGCAGTGGGTGAGGGTCCCCTTTGCATTCTAACTGGTCATGGATTCCAAAGGGTTTAGCTGTCTGGAGGGCAGGGCCAGATGTCTTTCCCCCCTTGGTTTGCTGAAAGGGGATAGTGCATCAGTGATGGCCAGCACCCTCTCCTCTTACAAACACGGAGTTAATGCTCTTCTCTACGTTGATTGGCCTTTGCTTCTGGTTTGGACTCTGGGGAACATTCTAGCTATGTGCGCTCCCTGTGAACCACTCTTCTTCCCCCATGCTCTGCTTCCTGGACCAAGCTCTGCAGGGTGTCCTCTTCCCATCATCCCCTTCCCATTCTTTCTCCCTCTCTCCCCCTCTCTCCCCTTACAACCGGGAAGATGCGTTATTGCAGTGAATTGTTGAGTTGTCTATGTCCAAACCTCCTGGTGTCTGTAAAATGAGTTTGCTTCCAGTCACAAAAGATCTGCTTGGCCCAGGATTGAGCGGATAAAAGTTCCCCTAACGGTTTTCCCACATTAGGTGTTTGCTGTGACACAAGCATCACAAATGTGACTAACAGTCACCAGGATTCAGTGCATTAACCATCATTGCACTAGTCTCCTCTGACCCACTGCAGGCACTGTGTAATAAAGCAAAAGCTCGGATATTTTTCCAGCCAGTCCCCTGAATTTCCCACACACAACCATTGGTTTGCTTGTGCAAACTGGTGCTCATACACACACTGTTTTCACACGTGCATGCTCCCTGTCCGCTTGTGCACCAAAGCACAGGTTTGAAGCGTGCAAACCTAGGCATGTGTGCAAATACTGTGGGTACAGTAGAGGTGGCTGTTTGAAAATTTGGCTGTGTGTGTTAGACAAGCCCTTGAAGCTAAGGAAACAGCTCCCCAGACATAGGCACAAGGGGAAACACAATGTTATGGCTGGGTTTGGCAGCTTTAATTGGCCACTCAGAATTTTTGCATAGGATACTTTGCACTTAGCGCTTTTCATCTGAAGATCTCAAAGCACATTACAAAGGTATATAATAGCCCCACTTTACAGGTGGAGAAACCGAGGCACACTACAGGTGAACTGACTCACCCAAGGCTAGAACCCAGGAATCCCCAGGCCTTATTTTCCAAGGCGCTGAGCACCAGTAGAGCCCAGTGACTTCAATGGGAGTTGTGGGAGCTCAGCACCTCTGAAAATCATGTCCTTCCCTTGTTCTGAGCGCTAGAGAACACTGCCTGCTGGCCTTTAAAAGCATGTCCCAGGGCCTTCATGGTTTTCTCATGGAGATTTGTTGTTAATTTTGTGGGTTGTAATTTTGGCATAATAGTTGCAGTTACACAAACAGCCGTCATGAAGGTTTGTCCTCGGAGGGATGTGATTAGAACAGCAAATGCTGCTTTTGAGGGGAGGCTCTGGAGATCATTACCCCAATTTTTTGACCACCCTGCATTGCATCACATAGTCCCCTGCATCCCAGTGATCTGCCTTTACTCCCAGGCAGGCTTAAATAGGCCTCCCAATAAAGCCCATCACCTCAGCGCTACCCTTAGATTACCCAGAAAGATCCTTGCGATGTGAGGCAAAGGACTTCCTCTTGCTGTGGAACCTGCTGCCTCCACGGCACCTCCTGGCTTGGGAGCCAGGGCAGCACCCTACCCTGATCCGTCATTAAGAAGTTTTCAGTAACGTGGTTATCGCCTTAGACAGGCTGGATTAAACGCTCTCTGCGGTTACTGTATCTCAGCAGTACAGAGATAGCAATTGGTTCAGATTATCCAACAGCTGATTGGATGAAAGTCGCAGGATTAAATCCTTCAGCATCTGGTTTCAAGGCAGGTAACAGTCAGTTCATCTTGACTGACCAAGGGCTTATCTACACTGGTACAGACTCGTAGTATGAACAGGGCAGGCAGCCATAATAATAATAACACCTAGCTCTTATTTAGCCCTTTCCAGCCACAGATCTCATAGCGCTTTAGAAAGGAGGTCAGTATCATTATTCCCATTTTACTGATAGGTATACTGAGGCACAGGGAGGGTAAATGACTTGTCCAATGTTGCACAGCAGAGGAACTGGAAATAGAACCCAGGTCCCCTGAAGTCTAGTCTAGTGCACTCTCCACTAGGCTATACTGCCTCTCTGTAAGAGGCACTTGTACAAAGTGTGGCTTATTCCAGTTTCAAGCAGGGCTAACCACCATCAGTGCAAATAGCATCTTTGCCTATCTGCACAGAGGGTTTGCACCAGTGCATCTAGTCTCTTCTGGCTGGAATCATCATGGATCTGCAGAGACATGGCCAGGCCTAACCTTCTTTCTTGCCCGCTCTTCCTTTTACGGTTTTTCAAGAATTGTTTTGTTCCTCCTTGGATGCTTTCATTTGGCAGAGCGCAGCTACTTCTCTCTTAGCCGCTGGGCCCAGCTCTGCAGTATTTTAGTTGTGGTTGGTTTCACTTTTGTACAGTGCCCAGATACATTGTGATGGGCTCAGAAGGCATTAATTAAAACAGTCCCTGCTAACGAGGGTATAAACACAAAACCCCTCGATCTCCATTTATTTAAGGCAGATGAGAGATCAAGGACGGCAGCGTGGCTTCTGAGATGGTGGCCTGATTCTGTTCTCACTGTCCCTGGTGCAAAGCAAGTATTGTTCCATTGAATTCAATGGAAACACCCCAGTGTAAGTCTCAGAATCGGTCCCTTTTTTTTTTCCTGGTCCTCGGTGTGTGTGCAGGGAATGAACCTTTCAGTTCCATGAGCCAAATTTATATGGCAGCATTATTAGGAGTGTGCAGTAAAAACGCAGGCAGGCACAAGATGCACGGAAAGCGTGATACTGTGTTAAAAGGCTATAAACCAAATACTTTAAAGGGACCATCTGAGGTTAAAGATAATGGGCCTGATTTTCTACTGCTGTGAACTTTGTGGTGTTATTTACATCTTTGCAGAGTGGGTGTGAAATGCTACCAGATCAGAATAGCAACACTTTACCCCACCTTGGGCTCACGTTGCATGGGGGTAAATGACTGTAAGATGCAAAGTAAAGAAAATCGAACCCCACCTACTAAAAAATAATAATACCCAACAAGTAAAGTTCCTAACCTCTTTAACAGAAAACACAGCAGATGTTTAAAAGTGACAGAATTTTGAAAATCTCGTGTACTCTGCGCCCCTCTTGTGGCTTACTTTAAGCATTTTCTTCAGCTCAGATGATGAAAACTGAGTAATTTAGTTTAATTTGTGTTCATAACTGCTGGTCAATTTCACATGCACCAGGGCAGATTCTGTTTTT